GCTGTCACAGCTGGGTGCCCACACTGAAGATGCCGGCGCCTGTAATACAGGACGGCCAGTGGAACAGGCTGCGGCGGGGGCAACGCGGGATCGTGGGACAGGTGAGTGGCTGTTTTTTAAAAGTCAGCAGCTACAGTTTTTGTAGCTGCTGACTTTTATTCTTTTTCAGAGTGAGTGGAACTCCGCTTTAACACTAAACTGATGACCTATATGGGCTTTTGAAGCATCTCCTATAGAGAATATAGGGTATTGAAGTTTGCTGCCATTTCATAGGCACACACAAATTTAAGGTTTGGCATGTTGGGTATCTAATAGGCACAACCTCATCCTTTTTGTATTTTACCAAAATTTGGCTAATGTATTGTGTGTATTTGCCCTAAAATTCACTTTAGTACTTTTATGACTGAAATTTAGCATTTCATAGACCTTTGTGGTAATCTAGTGTGACATAAAAAAATGGAACTACTACTATTTTTTTCTCTAGGGTGTCTGCTTGCAGAAAATATATAATGTTTGGGGATTTGTATAATGTTCAGGCCTAAAATAATTTTTGAATCGTGTGCCAAAAAAATTGCAAAGACAGCTCTGACAGCAAAAGGGTCACTGGCACCCCAAACATGGTTAGTAGATGCCTAGTGAGAGAATGTGCAATCTTCACAGCCGAATGAGCGTGGGAGGTTCTTATTGCGTATTTGTCATGCACAGGGCAATCCATTCAAGTGAGTGGGAGCATGTGTTCCTGCTAAGTGTGAATGGGAGCCTATGTGAAGGAAATGGTTTGTCTTAGACCAGCTTGGCCCAAACAAACTAAAGTTCACAAAGATATGGAATTGGGCTTCAAGAGGTGCTGACCTTTCATTGATGTTCTACTTAAAATACTAGCTTGTCTTGATTGGCTGAGGTGGAGATTGTGATATCATCCACCTGCCTCAGCTAATCAGAAACCTTGTATTTCATGAATGAATACAAGGCTTCCTTTTAGCTGAGCTTCCAGGTTTGCCCAAACAAACTAAAGTTCACAAAGATATGGAATTGGGCTTCAAGAGGTGCTGACCTTCTATTGATGGTCTACTTAAAATACTAGCTTGTCTTGATTGGCTGAGGTGGAGATTGTGATATCATCCACCTGCCTCAGCTAATCAGAAACCTTGTATTTCATGAATGAATACAAGGCTTCCTTTTGGCTGAGCTTCCAGGTTGGCCCAAACAAACTGAAGTTCACAAAGATATGGAATTGGGCTTCAAGAGGTGCTGACCTTCCATTGATGGTCTACTTAAAATACTAGCTTGTCTTGATTGGCTGAGGTGGAGATTGTGATATCATCCACCTGCCTCAGCTAATCAGAAGCCTTGTATTTCATGAATGAATACAAGGCTTCCTTTTGGCTGAGCTTCCAGGTTGGCCCAAACAAACTGAAGTTCACAAAGATATGGAATTGGGCTTCAAGAGGTGCTGACCTTCCATTGATGGTCTACTCAAAATACTAGTTGTCTGGCTTTGCTACAGGAGTTCCTGTGAGTGTGAGGAAGGCCTCCTAGGTGTCTCCTTGGTCCATGAGATGTCAGAGCCTAGGACTTCCTCAGCTGTACAATACCTATTGCCACTCTTATGCTCCGTATACACAATCAGAATATCTTATAAAAATGCAGCTTTTAAAGTGATCGTACAGTAAACTGATCGTTAGTACACAACAATCGTCTGGAAAAAAAAATAGGGACAAGCATAAAAATGTTTATTGTACGATTGTCATTTTAACCAATCCAGTAGTCATCCAAAAATACAATCCAAAATACATTACAATCTTCACAATTTGTATTCCATCGTTCAAGAATTTTCGTAACTTTAGTAACCTCGTCACTTTCGATATGAGACTAGCATGCAGGAAAAAATGGACAATCATTCGTCCGATACTCTGAACGTATATACGGGGCGTAAGGGTTTGTTCACACTTCACTAAATTCCTAACTCTTAACAAACCCTCCTATTACTATGGGTGTTAGACTGGCATTAACCCCTTTGTGCCGGCCCTTTAAGAGTTTCAGAAGCCAGGAGGTGGGGCGGGTTTTAGGGTCATGTGACCACCGTGATTCGCTGTCATGGCGGTCAGATGATTGGAAAAGGTCCCGATCGCAAGGGGAGATTGGGACCTTTCCGGGAGTCAAGGACATATGTGCTGGGAGCACGCAGGGCACCCACTCTCAGTACATATGTATTTTCAAATAGTACGCAAATATGCAGCCGCTTGGCGACAAGGCCCAGACGCCGAAAGGATGGATATTTGCGTCTGCTCAGCATCTAGGGGATAATGAGTTTAGTATGGGCATTAGACTGGTGTTGTACAAGCGTTAAAAACTCTCTGTGTGCAGTTTTGATGCGTTTTACAAGTGTTAAAACCACACCGCAAACGCCCAGAACTAATTGTAATGGTATTAACGCGCCGCAGACACCTGCCAGCATGTTTGTGGAGCATCACCATAGACTTGAATGGGAGGCATTGAAAGACTTCAAACTCCTCCAGACTCGACATGAGGCTTCAATTTTGAAGCAATGCTAACCCTTCATGTTTTGATCATGGGAACAGCACTGTGTGCTTCCCATAGTATCATTTGCATAGGCGTTAAAAACACCCTTCAAACGCCTGCCTTTAATGCCAGTCTGAACTAGGCCCTAGGTCTGTTAGGCAGCGACTACCTCTGGGGAAGGGTGGCACAGCTGCGTTGCTGGTCCTGCACTAATTGTTCACAGATTCTGAACAAGCCATACTATAAGCATTGTAGAGAAATTCATTTTCAATTTTTTTGTGGGAGAATAGTCTTTGCAGCCTTTCAGCCCTCTTAATTAAAGGTTTATTTATTTATATTTTTTTGAAATATAACAAACATGTCTATACTTATCTGCTGTGTGCAATGGTGTTGCAAAGATCCCCCTCTTCTCAGGTCCCCCACATGTGCTCCTGGCTCCTCCCTCCTGTCGGGTGCCCCCACAGCAAGCAGCTTGCTATGGGGGTACCCACAGCTCTTTGTGTCCATTCACACACGGAGCCGTGGCTCAGCCCCACCCCTCTTTGTTCTCATTGGCTCACTGGCTGTGATTAACAGCAGTAGGAGACAATGGCTCCCGCTTCTGTCTCAGCCAATGGGAAGAGGGAGTCCCGGGATAGCTGAGACTCCAGTGCACATCACTGGACAAAGAGGGGGCTTAGGTGAGTATTGGGGGGGGTGGGATGCTGCACACAGAAGGTTTTTACCTTCATGCATGGTAAACAGATAAAAAACCTTGAGCCTTTAAGGCTACGTTCACACTAGCCTTGTTAGCAGGCGGCAGACAGGCGTTTGGGAAGCGTTTTTACCATTTTCCAAACGAAAACATTGCAGCACATAGTGCTGTTCAAACATGAGCGTTAGCATCGCGGCACTACGGACGCCTCTGGTCGAGTCAGGAGGAGTTGAAGCCTCCTAATCAAGTCTATGGTGCCGCTCCGCAAACGCCCAGCCGGCGTTTGCGGAGCGTAAATACCATTCAAACTTCATTATAGGCATTTGTGGGGGCGTTTTTAACACTTAGCAAACGCCTAGCAACCGCCACTAAACCACGCATGCGTCGTTTTTGGAGCGTTTGCGGAGCGTTAAAAACGCTCCGCAAACGCCGGACCAACGCTTGTCAAACGCTTTAAGGGCGTTTGGCAAGAGTTGGAAAAAAAGTCAAGTGTGAACGAGCCCTAACAATGGCTGTGAGGTTAGGCATACACATGATCTCTCTCATTCAGCCCTGTAGACTCAACACAAAAAAAGCAATAGGTCTTTCCAATCCACTCTAAAACGGTGTCTGTGTGAATGGAGGAGGGAGCCTTCCCTGCTGGCTAGTATTCTGACAGCTGCTGCTTGTTAGGAATATGTAAACAGTTTTAAAGCTGTAATAAGAAAAAAAATGTGGGTGAGTGGTCTCAGGTGTGCTGTTTATATATAAAAAAGGCATGCAGATGGGAAACCAGTGCCTTTTGATTGCTTATGTGATTTCATGTGGCTGCGGTTTGAAAAAAAAAAAAAAAAAGGTGCAGGGACCTTTTCCCTGCACAAAATGGCAAGCCATGCAAATGAATGGGCTGCTGTGCCCGCGTACACATGGCACATAGAACCACAAACATGTGAACCGGAGCTAAAGGAAGGCAGGCAGTGAGTGGCAAATTCAAGGTGGATTTTAATTGCCTTAAATAATCTCTTTCACCCCCTATGAGTGTGAACTGTATATATCTCTATCCTGTCTCCTGAATGTCACCTGTATATTGATACTTTCACCTACCTTATCCTGCACATTACCCTTCATCTCCATTCTCTGTGAGACCTGTACTATAACCTCCTCCCTCTTTATATGATCTGTATATTAAAGCATTATTAACCACTTCAAGTGGTTAATAATGACTGGACCGGACTGGAAGTGGTTAAGTGTTAGGAAAGCTGGAATTAAGCTTCAACACTGATGGGTGGTTACAATGGTCAGTGTTTATGTAAAACCTTTATTTATGTTTATTATATAGCACCAATTTATGCAGCCCTTTATATTCACTTCAGTCTCTACCCTCAAGGAGCTTACAATCTAAGGTCTCTAACGTATGATCATACGTACACATACTAGGGCCAATTTAGACAGGAGCCAATTAACTTACAAAAGCATGTTTTTGGAGTGTGGGAGGAAACTCATGCACAGCACAGGGAGAACATGCAAAGGTTGTGCTATGGTTGGGATTGGAACCAATGACCCCAGTGCTGCCAGGCAGAGGTGCTAACCACTTAGCCACTGTGCTGCCCACTTTATCACAAAGGGGAAAAAAAACTTGCTTTAAAACTGCCTAAAGAGCATTAGCAGACATTCAGCGTTAATGTGTTTTGCATGTCCATCTACTGTATATCTGCTAGTACGGGGCTTACAATTTCAAGTCCTGAGCTACTAGCCAGGCCTTAAGAGTTACTCGCCACCAACAAACACACACGCACAGAGACACATGTACACACACACACACACACATGCAGACACATGTATACACACACAGGCATGTACATGTACACATACACACAGATACATGTACATACACAGAAATACACAGAAACATGTACATACATACACAGACACATGTACACAGACACATATACATACATACACAGACACATGTACACACAGACACGTACATACACACAGACACATGTACAATTTTACATGCATACACAAACACACGTACACACACACCCCCCCCCCCCCCCCATAAAAAGTTGCAGTACTTCGTTGTTCACTCACAGAGCCAGGGTACTGCATTCTAGGGGGAGGCAGAGAGCACAGAACACACTCCTTCCTTTGCTTTCACTGAGCTCAGCTATTAAGCAGTCTGACGGCTCCCAGTACCAATGACAGATCCAGCCTGAGCTCCAAGCCTGCTCAGCAAGACGGCCCTGGGGGACACACTCGCCCCCACCATAATTTCCACTCGCCATTGGCGAGCAGGCGAGTGGAAATTTCAAGCCCTGTGCTAGTACATCTACGGCTGCATTCACACTTAAGCGATTTGTGGCTTGAAGCTCCAAAAATGCTCAAACTTAAAAAATCAATTGTTCTCTACAGTGCCTGTTCACACCTGATCACATGAACAAGCACCATAGAGAACAATTGATTTTTTAATTTTGAGCATTATGGGGCTTCAAGCTACAAATTACTCGTATGAATGCAGTCTAACACTAACCTCTCTCCAGACTGCTGCTATCCAAAGGTGTCTCCATTCGTTGTACTTTCATTCAGAGTGGAGACATGCAAAAACAGGTAGTGTTACTGGCAGGATCACTGTGTGAAAATAAAGGAGGGGGGAGGGAAACACCTAGAAAAGAAAAATGCAGTTGCCATGTTTAAGGGTTGGTAAGCTGCAATTTTTGGATTTATTACCACTTGTATTTAGCACGCCATTACCAGGCTCCATGTTTGAACCCCTTAATACCAGCATGTTTTTTTCATTTTTCAAAAAGATTGAGGCAAAATGAGATCACATTGGGGTGTTTGCCTTCCAAAAAGAGGTCATTTTGAGGGTGTTTGTACTGTCCTGGCATTTGTTTGCTATTTTCTAATAGAAAGTTCCAAAAATGTTGATCTGTTTGTTTTTGAACTATAAGAAAAAAATAAAACCCATTGGTTAAGAATTACCACCAAAAGAAAGCTCTGTCTTTAAAATGAATATGGGCACAGTGTTGCTGAACCACTCGTCTACTAAGATACGTTCACATATGGCTTGGTAGACGAGAGGTTAAATCAAGCTCATAGCTGGGAGCTTCATATGGTCTTAAAGTGGTTGTAAAGGCTCATGGGTATTTACCTTCATGTATTCTATGCATGATGGTAAAAAACCTTCTGTATGCAGCAGTGCCCCCAGCCCCCTCAATACTTACCTGATCCTCATCACAATCCAGCGATGTGCAAGACAGCCTCGGCTGTCCCATGTATTTGCCTCCTAATTGACTGACACAACCAATGGCTCCCGCTGCTGTCAATCACAGCCAGACAGCCAATAAGGAGAGAGGGGTCGGGGCCAAGCCACAGCTCCGTGTGTGAATGGACACACAGCAGCGGGTGCCCCCATAGCAAGCTGCTTGCCATGGGGGCACCCGACAGAAAGGAGGAGCCAGCGGGGGACCCAAGATGAGGAGGATCCAGGCTGCTCTGTGCAAAACCACTGCACACAGCAGGTAAGTATAGACATGTTTGTTATATTACAAAAAAAGAACCTTTAGTATTGCTTTAAAGAGATGATGAAGGGTTTTCCGCTAAAAGTGATCAGATGACTCTCAAACAAGCACCCCATCCTGCTGGTGGCCCCTGGTATGTTTGTTGGACTCCCCTGCCCCAGACCATAGGAAACAGCTTCCCCAGAGTAACAAGGGGGAACATCCATTTCCCTTTTCCTCCTGTGACTAATGACCCTGGGAGTGGCGGGACATATTGACTTAAAGGGACAGCAAAGGGCTTTCCAATGAAAGTAATCTACCAAGATACAGTATGTTCATAAATGGCATGGTAGATGAGTGGTTCAATCAAGCTCACAGCTGGGAGCTTCATATTGGCTTAAAGAGATGGTGAAGAGTTTTCCAATAAAAGTGATCAGATAGTTCTCAAAGAGGCAACCCCTCATCCCGCTGGCAACCCCTGCTGTGTTTCTTGGGCTCTCCCTCCCTGGACTGCGGGAAACAGCTTTCCAGAGTAATCAGGAACATTCAGTTCTCTATCCCTCCTGTGACTAATGACTCCAGAAGCGGCACGTGGTACATCACTTGGGGCAAGGCCGGTGCTAGACTATTTTGCGCCATAGGCAATACCAGCTACTTGCACCCCCCCCCCCAAAAAAAAGTTAATTTTTTTAAAAACAGAAAATATTAAATCAATAAAATATGAAAACTGTTAGAGTTCTTAATGTGCAAAAGCAAGTGCCATAAGATGCGGTGACAGATCCCAGGCTGGAATTCCCCAGGCAATGGGGGAAATAAAAAGCTGTGAAAGCAGGTATTCCAACACACAACACACACACACACACACTGAGCGATCCCACACAGTGACAGATCCTACACAACACACTGACACAGATCAGCAGGCACTAGAAGAGCAGGCTGTGGGATAGTGATGATGTCACCACTCACTGACACGTTGCACATGTGATGGATGGCCAGCCAGTCGGGTCGCACATAGACATGAGTCAAACATTCTAAACAATATGGTAGTGTGACCAGAGCACCCCTACCCAAGGAAAGGAGGTTATTAAATGATCCACGCGGAGTAATATGGGTTCAAAGATTACAAACAGTATTTTATTCGATCACATGGATCATAGGGAGGTTAAACATGAGCACGGTGTACATATCAAACAAATAAAATCATTTTAAAAGCACTTGGCGTCCTCATTTCTGGGTCATTTTGGCAAGTAGAGTACCATATAAGGCAATGTAAGGTAGTGGTGTGGCTTTGGTTCTAGGTTTCCATAGATCTCCAGCTTGTATCAGGATAAACCATATATTCGGTAAGTATATTTTCAGTATGAGCCAGGGTGTGTAGAATAGCCTTCTGGCCCGTGGAAACTGGAACATAAAAATAGAAATAAGTATATATGAAGATGTAGGAGCTAATCACAGCCAAGCCCCACCAAACCTCCCTATAAAGTGGTCAGTGAACACTTCATTACCTTCTCAGTTGTAAGCCTGTCATACCCGCTTCTCAATTGTGGAGACTTCCTGGGTAGCCACCCCAAGTGAAAAAAAGTCCACAGTACCAAATGATTCTGGGGATATATATAAAAAATTATAATATGGATCACAAAGCATCAATTAAACCCTGAAAACAGAAACAAAATATGGGTATATTACCATCAATGAGGATCAAGAGGACTCCCGTCGACTTGAAATAGGATCAGGTCCTTGATGCTTGTTTAAAGATGCATATGGGGGTGGGAAGCCAGGTGGTCTCAATACGTAATTCCCAACACATATATTGTGTATGTAGCAGGCCGTGAGTACCTGAATCTATATACCTAATGAAGGGTTTCCAAAAATTACTCAATCTGAGAGAAATAAAGCGGTTTATATAGGATATGGCTTTGTCACAGCAAACAGTGCCTCAAATAGGATTGCATATGTATATATATATATATTTTTAATCCTCTAAAGAGGATTTCCAAAAAATTCCCCAAAAAATAGGGTAAATTAGGCACATATAACATACCCTCTTAACTCCATATATGCTCTATGAGTCTAAACAGCAGTGAGCTAAAATAACTTGCCACCGGTGGAAGATATATTCCCATAGGGGATTGCCGTTTGCAGACCGCTGTGACACCGCCGTTCCTTCCCACCCCGTGGGCGCCGCACCCTATGAAGACGCCGAGCGTAGTGACGTCATTACGTTGACGCGTTTCGTCCGCCAATCACCGTAGACTTCGTCACGAGGTGGGAAGGAACGGCGGTGTCACAGCTCCCTGCTAGGAAGGCACGAGGCCCTCTGAAAACTACCATAAGGCTACTATTACAGCGGTCTGCAAACGGCAATCCCCTATGGGAATATATCTTCCACCGGTGGCAAGTTATTTTAGCTCACTGCTGTTTAGACTCATAGAGCATATATGGAGTTAAGAGGGTATGTTATATGTGCCTAATTTACCCTATTTTTTGGGGAATTTTTTGGAAATCCTCTTTAGAGGATTAAAAATATATATATATACATATGCAATCCTATTTGAGGCACTGTTTGCTGTGACAAAGCCATATCCTATATAAACCGCTTTATTTCTCTCAGATTGAGTAATTTTTGGAAACCCTTCATTAGGTATATAGATTCAGGTACTCACGGCCTGCTACATACACAATACATGTGTTGGGAATTACGTATTGAGACCACCTGGCTTCCCACCCCCATATGCATCTTTAAACAAGCATCAAGGACCTGATCCTATTTCAAGTCGACGGGAGTCCTCTTGATCCTCATTGATGGTAATATACCCATATTTTGTTTCTGTTTTCAGGGTTTAATTGATGCTTTGTGATCCATATTATAATTTTTATATATATCCCCAGAATCATTTGGTACTGTGGACTTTTTTTCACTTGGGGTGGCTACCCAGGAAGTCTCCACAATTGAGAAGCGGGTATGACAGGCTTACAACTGAGAAGGTAATGAAGTGTTCACTGACCACTTTATAGGGAGGTTTGGTGGGGCTTGGCTGTGATTAGCTCCTACATCTTCATATATACTTATTTCTATTTTTATGTTCCAGTTTCCACGGGCCAGAAGGCTATTCTACACACCCTGGCTCATACTGAAAATATACTTACCGAATATATGGTTTATCCTGATACAAGCTGGAGATCTATGGAAACCTAGAACCAAAGCCACACCACTACCTTACATTGCCTTATATGGTACTCTACTTGCCAAAATGACCCAGAAATGAGGACGCCAAGTGCTTTTAAAATGATTTTATTTGTTTGATATGTACACCGTGCTCATGTTTAACCTCCCTATGATCCATGTGATCGAATAAAATACTGTTTGTAATCTTTGAACCCATATTACTCCGCGTGGATCATTTAATAACCTCCTTTCCTTGGGTAGGGGTGCTCTGGTCACACTACCATATTGTTTAGTATGCAATTCTTTTTGGGTTTATGGATCCACACTTACATGTTAAGTGAGTCGGAGATATGATTATGACACTAGCTATCAGTGTCATTATAGGTGGCTTCCTTTAGTCTATTTTTATGAGTCAAACATTACCTCCCTCCGTAGGCACAGCTCCGCCTCCACTGATGAATGGGAATAGAAGGGCTGGAACTCCACAGTGATCAGCAGTCACCAGCCGACTTGCAGTAAGGGACTGAGTCTGAGAGAAACACTGTAAGGAGCTGCAGCTCAGCTGCTACACTGGCCCCAGACACCCGACATCTTCCTCTGTCTTTTCTGCCTCCCTTCTGCCACCCCTCACCTCAGCTAGAGGATCATTCATGACGTGG